ATATAATTGGGTAAGAGTGTAAATATGAGTTGATTTTATGAAGTGTTATAAATTTATAAATGGGCTAAAATGCCCTAAAACAAAAAAGCCTCTTAACCCAAAATATAATATGTAAGGAAATAAGCGTACAACCACATACATGCAAATTGGTGTATATCAATACAAAATTATGCGTTAATTTACTGGTTTCAATAAAGACGTGAAAGCTAACGAAATTAATATATTTGTTTTTAGGCTTTAATTGATGTCTTTATATGTGAGCATAAAACAGAGAAAGTTAAAAAACATTGGCTGTTGGATAATTGGTTAAGGGTGTAAATAGAATGTGATTTTATAATGTGGTATAAATTTATAAATGGGTTAAATGCACTAAAACAAAAACACCTCTTCACCGAAATATATAATTTATAACGAAATAAGCGTATAATTACATATATGCAAATTGGTGTGTAATACTACAACATTATGTGTAAATTTCCGGTTTGATAATTAAAACAAAAAGGGCTACTAGTATTCGCATTTTAAGTGTGGCCAAGATGCAGCAAAGGCTCACTTGTCTACTACTTGGTTCCCCATATTTGCCAAACCTCTATATTGTGACTCAAAGGAAGACTTGGATTCCTTTTAAAATATTATCTTATTAGTCCGATTTCGTCCTTTAGTTAATGGTCTTTTTGGCTCTTTTTTATTCGTTATGCGAGGCCGCATGGCATTTAAACTCGCCTCCATTTTTGTAACAACTACGCATATGTACGACTTTATGACAATGAGAATGGTTTAACCTCCTAATTTTTAGTCAGAACAACTTCGCTTGTCTCTTCGCCATAAACTCACGAGCTGGTGTCGCCTCATTTTTGTCAGTGGCCAGACTGACTGAAGCTGCCTGACGTAGTCAGGCTTAAACACTTCATCGTCGCACGGCTACGCTGAATCTAACTACGCCTCTCTTTACCAGAAATGCCTGAAACGAGTCTACAGGCAGTGCGAGTGTATTGTTTACATAACCTGTAGTAAAGAGAGAATGAGAGGAGACAGGAGATGGAGAGTTAGTTATGCGCCATTTTAGATTATCTCACGGACTGACCCTATCTGTAAAGGAGAAATTTCTGTTAATTTGTGCAGCAAAGCAATAAGCAAAGCGAAGCCGTTGACAATCTGGCAGATACTATAATAATAACCTCTCGGATGTGAGTTGGTCTAGGACTTTCAGTGACTCTGATCCAGTATCACTCTCCCCCTAGCGGTCGGACTTCATGTCCCGGGCTGCTAACAGGAAGGTCTAATCGACCCGCCTACAGTGACCACCGTGATGGAGCATACTAAACTGTCCGGCCATCGGCCAGATTGTTCTCGCGTTTGTTAGTGAAACCATCACTTGATCAGCGTTTGGCCAATAATCCTCATCGATACGGCCAATTGTTGATTCCTGGTGTTCTATAACTGGCAGAGAGCCTTTTTCAAGGACGATTCAGATGATTGTATCTCAATCTATACCTCTCAGGTTAAACAAGCTCCCCCCGCTTTGTAGACCCAGTGATAATAAAACTGTTACACAACCTCAAAAACCACCCATTCCACGGAGAGAGTCTATCACTTGCGCAAATGCGACTTTGACCTCCTCAGAAGTACCCTTGTATAAACTATCTTCCAACTTACTGTCTCCATCATTGACTTCTGTACCTGCAGCTGCTGTCGTTAATCCAAATCTGCCGGTGGATAGATTGCTATATTGTCAGAGACATTTGTGTCATCTTCCATCGCCTATCGAATTTAGCATATCTTGTGCAAAAAACAACGTGCCTTTTCACTTGGAGCCTCGCGTACCGAGGGCATACTTAATCCCGTCAGGCATACTGGTTCAGAGTGCGGCCCGGCACTCTCGTTCGACAGATCCGGAGCAATTTATACCAACTTCCACCTGCCCCGCACCTTCTTCTATAACATATTTACCAAACTCTTCCTCCCCTTCCTTCTTCACATTCTCCTCCTCCACCTCTTCTTCTTCCTCCTTCTCCTCCTCTTCCATCTCCTCGCCTTGCCCAGGCTCGCTGCTGCGTACTCCACCTGTTCCTCCTCCCCGACAGACCTCAGGCCCGCCCCAGCACCTGCTTTATTTCCTTCGCAAGCACCGGCTCTCATTGCAGCATCTTGAAGCCAGTATAGTAGCTGGCGGCCGGATTTCAGCGCCAAGCCTGCTTGAAATTGCTTCCACAGCACGTTCCCTGACTTCCTTATCACTAGGCCGCTCAGAGGCGGAGAGCACTTTCCCAAGTATTGGACAGGCGGTGCAGGCCAGACCTCCTCTAGGCAGCAGATTATTTCAAGGGTCATTTTCATTTGAGATTTGCCCTTCATATCATTTATGCCAAAAGAGAGCCCACAATACTAGGCGATCCTTCATTTCGTCTTTTTTTTGCGGGTACTCAAAAAATTGTGTAGTTTGCAAGTCATCAAGCACTTCAATCCACAGGGGCATCGTATTTTGGCTTACCAGGATGGTAGGACTGGTGATACTTTATTTTATGTATGTGGCTTGTGCACATGTGGCAGATAAGTCAAAAGACCGAGAGGGACTGGGTGAGTCCCTACATTCACATTTATTTATTTTAAACTATAAAAAATGTATGCTGTACTATGAATAATATAAATATTTTCAGATTTTGATTACATTATAGATAAAAATTTAGTTTAGCTTGAGAGGACAGAACTTACTTATCCTGTTGTGGAAATTTAATTTCGTATGAAAGTGCATGAAAGAGAGGTTCGAAGGTCGATCTGGCCAGAAGACTACAGCTGA